GTCACCCAAAGCGTTGAGAGTTAAGCGACTGACTTCACATAATTTTAAACTTGCGTCCATAGAAATCTAATTAAAACAGTAAGCAAATTAAGTAAACCTTGCTTATAGAAACATTGTGACTTGGCTTGATATCTTTGTTCATTTCAAATAAAGCCTTTAGCTATAGTTGTCTATGACTCACTATTAACGTTCTTTCTGAATGTTTATTCATAACGAACTTGAACACATTTTCGCGGCAAAACGTGTTTGTATTTAGGTGTGGATATTATTGGCGCGATACGAGATACAACCTTCAATACCGACTGGATAGCGCCAATATATGGCCAATATAGGGCAAGTATGCCTAAAATATGTCACGTGATGCCAAACGAGAGTGATGATGAACCGATATCATTTTGACACTTGCAACAAGTTTATATACGTTCTACTAGCCGTAAATTGTTTTTAATTAAATAATAATTACTGTGTTATAAATTAGATAGGTAATTCCTTAACTATCCTGAAAGATGGTATGTTCCTAGGTTAATAATATCGTAGAATGATCTCCAATCTCCATGAACGCATACCTGGGGGTAACGAGTAGGGCTATCTGCTACCAGTGTAGAAGCAGACCTGCTCATGTCTCTCTAACCTAGTGGGTTTAAGGTGCCCCGTCCATATTTCTAGATGTTTCCGTAAGACTACGGGTGTTCTGAGCGGCTTTTTCCTCGAGTATACCAGGTTGAATTGCAAAATATCTGATCAAAAGAAAAACAGTTGTAGCAGTTAAGAATACAGATAAATTATGAAACAAATCTTTAAGAAGTTCAGACTGTATGAAAGCCAAGTATTTACCGATAGGTATGTATATGGCACCTACATGACGTATAAATCTATAAAGAAAATTCTATGTACTTACGCATTTTTTATAAAATGTCACGTTTTTCAATCACAACTACAATACACATGTACAGCCAAGCTTATATCTGCGAAGGGGTAAAGCAGTAATTTTAATTAATCCAGCTTACGCAATACCTATTAAGTAATGTTGCCGGGAAGTCCCAGCCCTGTAATCACGTAAAGCGGTAGGTGAATTAAATTAAACTATCCTAAAACATGCTGGAAATAGGCCTCTTCCAATTTGAGTCACATTGAGAAGTAACTATTACGTTATTATGTGGCCAGCCGGCTCGAATGTAAATTTTCTTTATCGTTGATTATTTGTGGTTTAAAATTTCAGTGGTCAGTGGTCACCCAACTCGAACTTCGAAGCGGTGTTCATTTATCACCTATTGTTCACTGTTGTAGAATATGTTGTAACTTTAAAGCGTCGTAAAATTTCCAAATAACACGGTTTAAGTAATACAGGTAGTGATTTAACTCCATTATAGGAGCCTCAATCGGTTCCCCGCAAGGCGTCCATATTTTTATTGTTGGCAGTGAATAGTTATGCTTTATTGGTCACTGAAGGCTTTCCAACCGTGTCAAGAGTTCTACTGGATGGAAGTGACTATAGATGTTTTCAGGAATTATGAATGTACGCATTTATGTGAGATTTTTTATTTTAACATGAATTCTAAATGTTTTATCGAATTGGATTAATGCGGTTACTTTAGGAAAATGTTAGGAGTAAAAAAACAGTATGACTTATCCTCCAGTAAGTCTTACCCTTAAAGAAGAAAAACTGGACACAAACGTTATACCAACCCGCCTGGCCAGCTTGGTATAATAGGCCAAAATCTCCTTTTTAAGGAGAAGCCTAAGTACATCAGTGAACTTTTAAAGGCTTTGTTGATAATGATGAAGATTTATCATTCCGTTTCTTAGGCTAAAAAATCAACGATTTATAAATATTATGTTCGTTTGCAATAGCAATACATTATCGCCCGAAGACGTGACAGCTATTGTATAGAGAGATCAATGTCATTCAACATACTCATAAACTAATACCATCCAAACATTAAAATCGAGAAACGGCATTATAACAGTTTTGCTGCTTTTTTATGTTTTTAAGTTATTATGATTACGTTCCTCAAACAGATTTTTGTTTAATAGGAATAACTTTAGTGATTAAAATTTAAAATATCTTATTTAGTACTAAATGAAACTAGGTAATTTTATTTTGAGAAAGTTTTGAGTACCTAGTTAACTAATACACTTATTTACTTTCACTTAATTTTCTTTAGTACATAACTTACCAAATATACTTTTTGAGTGTTGCACGTTATTGTGAATTACGTAAAATATACCTAAGCATGCAATATGTATGTTAATTTAAATTAATATAATTCCCTCCTAATAATTCCCTGCCCCTCCTTCTATTGATATATATTGAGTTATAGTACAAAATAGAAAGAAAAACAGGTTTGCCTTGTTTACAAACACTTCACACTTTGTTTACTAAGAAATTTAATCTATGTTTTTAAGCGAGGATACGGGGAAATCATAAATTCTCATAACTACTTTCTGACTTTTCGAAAATACAATAAATCTTTCCTGGGCTTAACCAACATATAGATTACAATCAGCGGCGTGCACAGGATTATGACACTAGGTATGCGGAGTAGTCGGTCACAAAAACTTTTTCTTTTATAGGTTTTTAGCATAGCCACAGCCACGCGACGGATCTCTATGTCGGAAACCATGCCAACAGAACAAGTCTTAGATGTACTACTATTCATGTACATCTTCAACGGTAGACAAAACAGCGATAGATCGTCGCGGCGGAAGAAATTCTAATAAGTAAAATAATAAGCTAAAATATTATAACTACTCGCCTGGTCATCTTCAATTTTCTGATTTTTACATATTCAAGGTTCCGGTTACACACATTTTCCACACGTACCTCACAATCAAATAACATTTTTTAAAAATCAACGGAACTCAGTAATAAACTCTTAAATGTACACACTTTCAAATGTTAAAATGAAAAATAAAACTATAATTATACTGGCGCAAACAAAATGTAAACAATATGGCCGCGAAACACACGAAACATATCTGCTATTTAAACGAACACTTCCGATTACTCCCGAACTAACTTCGGTAGCCTGCCGCTGGAGGCGGGGTAATAAAATAAATGGGTGTGTGCGTTTGCGAACTGTGCACGGACACCAAAATTACTACACACATGCGAACAAATGTAATGCGGGACGCGACGGCATGAGTTGCTTTGCGCTTGCTTTTCGGTAAACACCTGGCAAACATAATGTTTGTGTGGTCCTATTTTTAAATAGTAGGCGTTTTTAAGTTATTATATTTTGTTTTTCATTTATTTACTATTAATTAAAGTCAACTAAAACGTACGAACGTTTTATTAAAATGTCTGTGAATAGCAAGTAAAGAACTGCATTTCTGCCTACAAGGAGCGCACGCCCCTGGATTACATACATACATATTTAGTTATTTCATGCGATCACATCGCGTGTGTTACCAAACACAATATTGTTTTCTACTAACACCTTGTTCCAAGACGCAGTTGAGTTGTGGAATGTGACTCACGCATTACATTACTATTATTACCATTTGCACCTTATAAACAAAATTAATGTTCGCTATAGTTCATTCAGACTACAAGCTAGAGCAGTATATTGTACAGCAGCGTGACATACCTAGATTTATAATAAGGTCAATAAATCACCTCGGTACCTCTGAGATCGTCTAGTACCAGGATTACCAAACTATTTTGGGCAAGAGACCCCTTCTCCAAAATGAAATGATACCTCAGACCCCCATAGCTAAATCACTGCACGCTTATCGACAATTTGAGTTTTTTAAAAGTACAACAATTATTAGTAGGAAGTCCTACTAAAATAGTAGTCATTATTATAACACGTTGGTATACGTAACACAACTAATAACAGTATCTTGATAGATTCAAATTAATTCAAATAAGAACTTGTGTTAATTAATATGGGGCGATTTTTAGACCTCGTCGACCCCCAAAATCAATTTTCGTTTATGTCGACACCTGAGAAACCGATTTCGACCCCAAGGTGTCGATATCGAACACTTGCAATCTCTGGTTTAGTAGGTACCTACGACGTACGTCATCTTCAAGTACGTCATCAGACAACACAAAAAAGCCATGTTGATCGCAATCTACAATTTTTAGTTAGTTGAATTGTTCTCTTCTTGCGTTATTATCACACAACAATTAAAAACTAAAAGTAAACCACAGATATACCTATGTCAAGCAGTGGTATAAAAGTAGCCATACCTAAAATATTACGAGTCTTAGGAATATTAAGTAGCGTACTGATAAACAAACGTTCCATACGTTTGTTTATCGGTACACTACTTATTTATTTGAAGTTTATGTGATCGGACCCGATCATAAAAATAAAACTGGAGAACGAAATTGATTTTACCTGTGAATTTTATTAAAGCCTCAAGTCATTAAATGCAAATCCACGTTGTACGAATACCAAACAGTAAAGATTAAAAAGTTGCCTTGAACATTAAAATCTGGCACGAGTGAATTATTATATTTTTCAAAATAGAATTGTTCTAATGACCACTTTATCTCTAACCGTACAGAGATAAGACGTCACGAAACGGATCTATAAATAAATCTCGCGGGCATTACCTATATGACTAAATTGAAAGGTAGTAAACGAAGACTATTAAATGCGAAATAATATTGTTTCTTCCCCTAAGACTCCACCTGTATTCCTTTACAAAAAGCGTCCTTGCTTCCATTGTTATAGGTTTGCGCGCCAAGTGACTGCCAAAATCGGCGCACGCGGCGAAGCGCGGGCGCGGGAAAACACCGAGCGTCAGTCGCTATTGAGAAGAGCGCGCGCGTACACGCAACCACGCTGTACTTTATAGGTTAGAATTGGCGCGTTCACGACCGCCAGGTGCGATTCGTTCCCCCGCTCTAACCCACTGCCGTGCCTATCCTCCCTCTCGCCGCGCTACCTGCGGACAACAGCTGTTTTCTCTCGGGAGATTAGTCAGATGTTTCTTGCGAACCAGTCAGAGCACACCTGACGCGCGCTAGGTTATCAGTATCAGTGATGGCAGCCGGAGGACGTACACCTAAACAGAGGAGGTTCGATATGTCAGCTGGGATGGCTCTCAGGGCATCCAACACCCCAAGACGACGGCGCGGTAGCTGCAAGTGTTTATTTGGCGCGCCGGACAGGGACGAAACAAGGAGGCTAATGGCCGAGCAATATGCAAGGGAAAGGAAGCGTTTCATTAGACGGTTCAATTTTGATATTGAGACAGAATGCACGTATAAATCTGCGAAGATCGATTCGCCGGTCAAGTTTTGTGAAGAAGATAAGGAGAACTCGGAGAGCCCGGTGAGAATGGCTACAGATGCGTTAGCGTGTGTAGGGAATACAGACTTAAGGATGTTAGGATCACCATCGCGACGTAGTGCTGCTGGTAGTTCACCTAGCTCACCTCGTACGCCGCGCACACCTCGCACGCCCCGCGCGTCGCGAACCCCGCGAACTCCACGCACCCCCGCATCCAGGAGACAGCTGCAAATGACAGGTCAGTACATACAATTGTTTTAAAAATTCAACGTTAAGATTGTATTTATGTCTGACGCCAATCTTGAAATTATTTATATTGTTTCTTATTTTGAAATATCAGTAAAAGTCGTGGTCCGTCGTCTTTTTTCGGATTCACTTCCGATCTTGCATAATGCAGTAGTAAAGAAATGATCGCTGCATGTTCAAGATTTATTTGCGTACATTGTAGTTTGCCTTATTATTATTATAAGTGATTAAACATAGTGAGAAAAATCGTATCATCAATGATGGTACAGAATTCATCCCATGATTATTATTATTACCTAGTTATAAATATACCTACTGTATGTTTGCACTAATCGTTTGAAAGCAAGTTTAACTCGTGGAGAATGTCCTAACAATATTCCCCTGTGCCAAAATGTACATGATATTTGAAATAAATAAAATATTTATACATTCTTTGGCGTAATGCCAACTTACCACATTTATGAGCAATGTTGTAAAGTACATTCATTTAAAATGGCATGTACCTAGTATATTTCTTTTAATTATGATAATCTTTTATAGCTAAGATATTTCTTTACGTACACTTCGTGTGTATGCTTTTCTAAAATAAGTTATCTAATAGGCCAATAAGACAATAACAATGTCATCTATGTTATCTGTTCTTATAACTAGATAAATACCTACTCGTAATCATTAGAATAGTAATGCATGTTTATCTTTTAGTTTCGAATTAATTTGTCGTGGTGTTGGTGAAGGAAGTTTTCAAGACATTTGTTAGACTTGTAGTCATCGTCAGTCTCTGGTCAGCCTGCTAACATAAGCATAAGAATTTGCTTTTTTTAATTGGGTAGTTTTATAACTGGTGACTTTTGTTAATTATATAATAATTTGCTTGCAATAAATAGCCGCGTAAACGAAAAATTTTTTTTTTGTTGTCCATTATAAAGGTAGTCTGTATTGCACGCCTTTATTCTGAGGGAAGAGTGTGAAGACGCATTGTCGTGGTGCATCATCATTCCCCGGAGCCCGGTCTTTCGTCGTCTCTCCTGCACAGCTTTGAAAACTTTTTGCAATGCGACTGTAGTGTACCATTGTGAGTTAACAGACTTACAATTCTCTAGCATTGATGTTGCAAGATGTCCACTCCGCGAAAAATAAACTGACCACCATTTTTTTTGCCAATGAACCGCGGTCTTCACGATTTCGTAGGCAACTGGCCAATTGGAAACACCCATACCGAGGAACGCTTCTTGCTTTTCAGATCATATTGATATATCCATGTTTCCATGTTCCATGTAGAAACATGTCTTGACCGCCCATTTTCAAAACGTAGAAGCATCTCACGGCACCATTCCACAGGGGCTTCTTTTTCCGTTTCAGAGAGCAAAGGAGGTATCTAACGACAACAAAGCTTCCTCATTCGAAGATGTTCGTGTAATATGGTGTGAACACTAATCGAACTGATGCCTAAGATTTTCTCTATGTCCCTGTATGTAATTTGTGGGTCATCTCGCACAAGCATTTCAGTAGTCTACACATTTTCAGGAGTGACTTCTGTTGGCGGGCGTCCACTTCGCATCATCTTCAAGGCTAGAGTTTCCCCTTTTAAATTCGTTAAACCTTCTAAAAATGGTTGCCCAAGATGGAGCAGCATACATATATTATAGCACCCAAATATTCACGTTTAAGCTCCATTATAGCACTCGAAAAAGCGGGAAATAATTGAAGTATAATACTTATATTTTTTTTTGTGTTCAATTTTCAAATGAATTTGCCTTTTAAAATATGACACAGATGCGTTCCATTTTCTAATTTCGAGCATCTCAAAACTTGTATAGTGACCAACGTATGGATTTGCAAAGTAACTAGGAATCTGGTAACATCTTAGTGGTTTAAAATTATAATAAAAATAATTGGACCCTCGGTTCTAAACAAACGTAGTGTGAATATTAACAAAAATCTTTAAGTATCGAATTATTATATTTATATATTATTTCCTACTAGCTTTTAAAGTCGAGATGAAAGCTGGTCGAGTCCTTTTTTGTACCCATCGTATAATTTATACAAAGCTTCAATTATACAAAGTGAAATCGTAACAAACACACCTACTATCACACGTATAATATTGGTTAGGACAGTGTCTTAGCCACGCGAGTCAGCAGAGATAGACTGTTACACTTGTATTGTGCTCAAACTGGTTATCCGCTGGAGTCAACTACCGGAGCTACTGTACTGTACAACACACGTCATACACTCAATATCATGATAAATACTAGATAACTACTAGTTACAAATACTAAAAAAGGCCTTTTACATGTTAGGGAGATCGGAAATTCCATTTGCAGTAAAATGAAGAGAAAATTGAAATTCCTTGTACAAAATGGTTATTTGAAAAGGTTCTACAGCATAAATCCAGAAGAAATATAATTATATCTCTAAGTCAAGGTTTTGCATTGCATTAAATAATTCCGTTATAGCTTTTTTTTTATAATTGTCTTCTTAAAAAGAAAGGCTTACTTAAAGCCTCTGTTTGTTCAGTCACTTTTTTTTATCTATGAGTAGCATTACAGAAATAATAAAAGCAAGTAGGTGAGTAAGTAAATAATGTCACTGTAGCGTGGCATAGCCAGGAGATCAACATTATTTAATTTGAGGTCAATTAGAGTTTAAGCAATTTGAGTCTAAAAGAAAAGTTCAATAAATCGTTTTCCGTAATTCATATTTCATTCATTACTAACTTTTTTAACTACTTGAAATCAGTTCCCTACGCCAAGTACCTACGAAAACTTTGCTACTATTATGTACCGGTATTCGTTTATAAGTTCATGAGTCAGAGAAAACCGGCTCCCTAGCATTGTATCGTATAGGAAAGTGGGCGTCTCCTGGTTCATAAACTTCAACTATTATATTGGTTTTGACTACATTGTTGAAACAATTACTTGGTGTTTACGGGTTATTTCGAAGAATCTTATGCTTAATAATTAAATGATACCATTGTGCTACCAAATAAAAAAACAGGATTCGGAGATAGGTCATCGCCTGGAGTAGCACATAGGCTACTTTTCATTAAATAAAAATTGATTAATGAAATAAAAAATAACGCAAGCGAGCCGCGGTAAAACTAGTAATTTATAATAATTAGATTTCTTGTTTTAAACTTATAACATAAGTCCAGAACTCCCAAAGATTCCAAGTAACACATTTAATAACTGAACTTAATTTTAGTTGCAGTAAAATTACATGTTACGTTTCTACAGATTACGTTTTGATTTTAATAAAAGTAGCCAGGCACTAAAGAAAGAGGTTCTCAAAAGAGGAATACGTCCGATGTCTTCCAACTTGTTGCTATGTAAAACTATTTTAACAGCCTCAGTTTATCGAAGTGTGACCTTTTGAGATCATTACTGCGGTTACATTATAAGACTTACGTAACACATATCACGATCTATGTGGCAACACTTTCATTCTGTCCTCCTTTATATTCAATAGACTGATTTCATATTTTATTTAAAATGTGTTAAAAAAAAATTATTTGTAAATAGGTATTTGGTTCTGTTCCGTATGTCATCTATGAAATAACTATTATAGTGGTCAATGTTTTGTTTGTATACATAAAATTATTATTTTATTTTCATTTCATTGCTTATAACCTTTAACTGAAAAGAAGTTTAAAAACTACTAATAACACACATTTTTGAAGACGATCACATAGATAGATGCCTTTGCCCTTACTGAATATGACATAAAAAAATTCGTCACATAGGTACGTACACATAAACACCACATTAAAATCCTCTTTTAATGTTCCTTAGTTACTAAACTTGAATAGAAACGCGGAGAAAAGTCTATTTAGGATAGTTACGCATTACTGCACCATCACGGCTGTTTACTTCGTGACTACAAAAGACCGTGAGGCCGATATAAGTGTTATAGTCGAATAAAAAGTAATGTAGGTACTTATAAAAACAGTCACGGCTGACTTCTTCCGGGGTATTTTGAGGATGCTTTAGCCACGTAAATTGTGGGAGCGTTCTCTGTTCTGTGTCCTTAACCCATTCCTTAACCCTGATCAGGTCAAGCGACGACAATCGTGGAACAGTAATTTGTGTATAGTGCGACCGAATTAAATAGTGCTATTATAAAAGCAAATAAGTTCTAAGCCTTAATGTGTCATAATTTGATCATTTAAACTTCGAACAATAAAACATTGAGGTATACTATGTGTTACATTATATGTAAGTATATAGTTGACGAAGCGAAACTTAGTCTGTCTTTCAAAAGGAACAATATTGCTCCGTTTTTGCGACATTTATTATTGATACTCGGCGCCCACTGGTCACAGCGTGATGTTTTATAGCCTATAGCATTCCTGGATAAATTAGCTATCCTACACTAAAATAATTTTTCAATTCTTACTAGTAGTTCCTTAGATTAGCGCCTTTAACCAAACAAACAAACTATTGAGCTTTTTTATATTAGTTGAATGCAATATCAAAAAGAAAAAAAAAAGCTTTGTTTTTTGTAAAACTTTGTAGGAACTTGGTATGTTAACACGTTTAGGAATGTAAATATACTCGTAACTAGCACGTACATCTACAAAATAGGTACCAAACATATTGTCAATAGCTCAATCGAAATTCTGAATAGTCGAGTTTTAGATGATCTTGCCCAGACTTCTATATCTCCCGTAGTCACTTACCATTAGCCGCCCATACCATAAGGTACATACTTGTATTGACGTCTAAATCTTCAATTTCATAAAAATATTATTAATAGTAACAATAAAGGTGCATGACCTAAAATGTTTATCAAAACCATTACGATATTCAAGATACAAAAATCAAAGATTCGAGTCATGGCGTTCGATCTGTCCATGGTGTGGGGTCAATGATCCGTTACGTCATCTAAGGCTCACATCTTTTGTTTCTCGCTCTCATCTAACAATCTTTTTTCTTTATTTATTTATGTTCTAAACTTAAACTTTTTTCCTACTTCAATGAAAAAGGATTAAGC